CACTTGCCTTGCATGCCAGAGGCCCTGGGTTTGATTCCTCAGCACCACATAAGCAAAAAGAAAAAAACCTGTGGCTCAAGTGGTAGAGCGTTAGCCTTGAGCTGAAGAGCTGAGGGACAGCACCCAGGCCCAGAGTTCAGGCCCCACGACTGGACCCAAAAAAAAAAAAGAGGAATCTGCCCCCCAATCCCTTTCCCAGAGCTTAGCAGGCACTAGTAGTCCTGACTCAGCCATCTTCTAGATCTAGGGCTTAGGCAAGCCCTTTAGTCATCCAAGGCTCCAGTTTCCTAATCTACCAAACATAAGGAACAGACCTACTTCACTGTATTGTGATGATTAAATAGAATAATATACACAAAGCATATCTTCTCAGAGTGTTCAGGAGGCAGTGGCTTTAATTATATAGGTTCCACTACAAGTATTGAGTGGGACTCTTTTCCATTATCTGTGAGTTCTCACATTTTCTAACAACTAAAAACAAACTTTAGATCTTTCCTAATTCTCCCCCTGATTTCAAGGATTTTGTGTGTTTAACATGCAGAGGGCTGATGAATGTGTTCAGAATGAGAAGATGTTGGAAACACTGAGATTGACTTAGTTTTAATGCCAGCATTAAACAGTTAGAAGAGCATAAGTCAGCAAATGAAAGAAATGTAAAGCAGTTATGTAAAGGGAAGAGGCACAACACACAGAGAGACAGTGGTGACCTTCAGGGGCCAGCTGGTACCAGCTCAGAGAGTCAAGGGATTGTCTTTCATAAAGCATCTTAAAATCTATCCTGGCATCTTAAACTCTATCACAGTGGAAGTGTTTATGTAAAAGACAACTTAAAAGATGCTTTTGCTGGGTCTTAGGACTTAACTACAAGTCCCCCAACTTTGTATATGGGACCTATGATCTAAGCTATTTTCCACTACAGTCAATTTTGCAGTCACCAAGAAAGGCCAGATTCACTGATAACCATTTTGTGTGGAAGGCATACTGTCCCTCAAATAGGCAGTGTCTTTTTTTATCATCTTGTACAAACAGCCAAAACTCGGCTCCAGTAATAAAGTAATAACTTCTCCAGATCTCCTCCAGAGACAAAGACTGAGCTAGTGGCCAACTAGGCCTCATCTGTGTCCTGGGACTGTTTAACTATTAATAGTTTTCTCACTTTCTGCCCCTAATTCTCCCCAGTTAACCTTAAAAGCCAAGGTCTGTACCTTGGAGGATGGTTGAAGATGGACTGAAGTGCTGTCTTCCCATGATTGCCATGTAATAAATCTCCTTCCTCTGTCCTTCATCATGTATTTTTATTTGGCATAGGGGGATAAGTGGCCAGACAGAACCTGAGACTCCTGGTCTTTGGGCCTGTGGTTGACACCACATTTACACATGAAACTATCAGAAAAGACTACTCTCTGATGTTCCTCATTGATTATTAAACATGTCCCTGTATACTAAGAAGGCTGAAGCCTCATTGGTTCTCTTCCATATTGATGCCCAGATTCATTATCACAACAGACAGACCTAGAATTGTAAGAGACTCATTAACATCAGAAAATAAATCCCATCTTTATTGGCTTCTGTGTAACTGCTGGATACTCTGTGTTCATGTGTGTATGTTCATGTGCCTTTGCATTGTACAAAAAGGACTAATTGTCAATCTTTAAAAAAAGTGTGAGGCCAGGTACTAGTGACTCATGCTGTTAATCCTACTCAGGAGACTGAGATCTGAGAATCGTGGTTCAAAGCCAGCCTGGGCAGGAAAGGCCGAGAGACTGTAATCTCCAATAAACTACTCAGATAAAGCCATAAGTAGTGTTGTGGATCAAATGGCAGAGTGCTAGCTTGAACAAAAGAAGCCCAGGGACAGTGCCCAAGCAGAGAGAGAGAGAGAGAGAGGAAAAGATGTAAAGAAAAGCACAAAACAGACAGTTTAGATTCTAGCATCCATGCTTGCTAGAAATGAATTCTCACACGATTGCCTAATGCTTGTGTTCTCACAAGCAACTAAGGAACATACAAACTGTACCTTTATTTTAGTCAATTCCTATTGAACTGCTGCTGTCATTCATGTAAGCCTCCTCTTTTGAAACTGAACATGAACTTGATATGCAGTGGGAAAGTAACAAGTCCCAGAATACATAAGGGGCAGCCACTCTATTCTTTGAATAATCAGCTACATTCTCACAGAGCTTCCCAGTGGAATGGAAAATGTGAATAGCCTACTCTCCCAGAGACTGTCCTGGAAAGAGCTGGCAGCTAATCATGAGGACAAGCAAGAGCAAAGCAAGGACTGGGGTTACAAACAGCAACGACTAGGAAGATACTGAGCCCCAAATTGAGAAGTTCAGTCAACACATGAAGAGCTTCCTCTCCAGCAGTGGTTCCTCACTTTTATTGAGCAAACCCTGCTCTTGTTTAACAGACTAAACACATTTAGATTCAGTAGAATGATGGAACTGAGAATTTACATTTCTAGCATGTCCCTAGCAGTGTCTGTTCACCAGATATGTTTTGATAACCACTGCCTTCGAACCTGGCCATTCAAGTCTTGGTTTGTGGAGCCAAAGCATAGATATCACCTAGAGCTTCCCTAGAAATTAATATCTTAGGGTTTTTTTTTTAGCTCAGGAGTAATTTTTAGGAATTGCTTAATGTGAAATGGACCCTTAAAGTCTTACAGGCTTGGCTGATCATATCTAACTTAATGCTGAGACCACACCTTAAACCAGACACTGAAGGCAAAGCCCTACTCATTATGAAGATACATGTGGTTGTATTATGAAGAACCTGCCAGGCTCAGGAAGAAAAGTCCCTGCCACTCTATCTTTGAAATAACTAGCAAAAAAAATAGGGCTGGAGATGGAGATATGACTCAAGTGCTCTTGAACAAGAATGAGACACTGAGTTCAAATCCCAGTTCTGAGTGAGAGCGAGCAAGAGAGCAAGAGAGCGAAGGGGGGGAGGGAGAAGGGAGAGAGCGCACACAAAGGCAAAACAAAAGCAAAAGAGAGAAAAGCTTATGGTTCAGCTGTTTCTGGTTACCTACTCCTGACACCGGTCACGGGCCTTGCTAATTAGCACAACAAATATATCTTCTTTGTCTCCCTTCCTCAGTTCTACAAATCCAAGTTAAACACATCTCCTCAAAGCATCTCAAATATGCCTGTGACAATCTCTGAGCATCCAACAGTGTTGCCAGAGGCCACACACTAAAACACTGTAGGATTCCTGTGATATCACCTCTTAGATCTCCATGAGTCATCTCTCTCCTGTTAAAAAAAACCTTAAATTTTCCATTGCTCAATTTTCTGTCTTCTCCTTGCATTCAGAATAAAATCTCTTAAGAGTTTTGAGTTTCTTCATGTCACCACGGAATCTAGCGCAAAGAATGTATCTGGGACATGCCTGTTAATAATTACTGAAGACTTAGATCATCATCCCTTAGAAATTAAAATCAACATAATGATTTTTGCCAATTCCATAAATCCCACACGGTAAATATAACAACTCAAAACACAAGATTATAAATCATAGATGTAAAAGTCATGTTTTTCATTGCTAATTCTTGGTTTTCAGACTGCTAAGTACAGGAATTTAAAATGACTGGGAGAGCTGTCAAAACATAAATTCAAAGCTTTTGTCATTCTATACATTTTATTACTTGAATCAAGACAAACCTCCTGGTAAATATTAGGCTTTTTCTTTCCTGTCTACAGTTTGAGAAAGCTGTTCCACATTTATAAGAACCAGGAATAGTAAGGAAAGGTAAGAACTGCATAAAGGCAAAGGGTTTACCCAAAGAGCGTTCCTGTCAGGTTGGTAGAAGCAATGAGTCACAGAGGCTCCTGTGCAAAGGTACAGTTTCCCCTTAGAAAAACCAATGTCAGGAAGGGATGACATTGATGTATTATATTGTATATATTGTACTTATAAACTGATTTACTGACTTTAAACCCCTTTGTACAACTATTTGAAGATAATGAAATAATGGAGTAAATAAATGAATGTCAAATCCCTGTTCCTTCTCATGGGAGGTTAGCCTTAGGAAGGACTTCAGAGGTCATCTCCTCTAAACCTCATGTTGAAAACATTGAGATAACATGGCTCAACAGACATGCAACTTGGTCTATCTATTCTATAAACCAAGACTGCCAATTCCTAGCTTAGGCTTTCATCAACTATGGCACCATTCCACTTCATCTCATTATTTCAGTCAAAAGAAAGCCACTTAGAAAATGTGCTTTGACCTACCCTAGCATTTCCTGTAGTCATTTGTTAACCCTTTGCGTGCCAGTACCCAGGGCTTATAACATGGGAATGAGCAAAGAGACAAAGATCCCTGCCCTTTCAGCACCTACATCGAGCTCCTTCTGGAACACAGAAGTTGGGAGAAGAAGAAAAGGAAGAAAAGACAACTGAGATATACAGTGGGGAGAAAAAAAAAAACGTGATCTGTGTTCTTTTTTCTTTCAGGGTTTGCTTTTTACACCTTAAATCTTTTCTTTCATAATAATAGTGTATTTCAAATACAATAAAGTTCAACCATTTACACTGTAGTTTGGTGAGTTTAACCTGTACACAAAGTTATACCACCATCACTACTAAGTTTGGAACATTTTCAGCATTCAAAAAAGAAGCCCTTATACCCATTAGGAATCACTCTCCATTCCGCCACATCCCACTCCAACTCTAGGCAACCGTTAGTCTACTTTCTGCCTCTCTGAATTTGCCTTCTCTGTATATCTCATATAGAGTCATGTAATAGGTGAGTTTTCTAGCTTCTACTTGGTATACTTTTAAGATCATCATATTATAGCACATTGCAGTATTTGATGCTTTTTTATTGCTGAATAATGTTCCATTACGAGCTATTCTTTTTTTCACACCTCAAAATTTCTATGAAGAAACACACATCATCTTTAGGAGGAAGGTGTTAACAGAATGTGAGGCTTAGAAGGAAACATATCCTGACCCTGGTTCCAACCTCTTCCACACAGTAGCTTCAAAGAATCGATGCACAGTACCTGACCAGATCCATCCCCAGTAAGGCTTCAGTCTCAGCAGCAGGTTCTCTGGCATTGATGGCTTCATTGGCTATGCATACTCCATGCTCATTGGCTCCCATTTCTGCTCCCCAAAGCCAGGCAGGTCTGCTTATCACTATGGCATGGGTCCTCAGAACTTGGTCAATTGAAATGTAAGTGCACTAAAATATGAAAACAAAAAAGAAAGCACCATCATGCCAGATACCACGTGCCACTTACTTCCCACCTTGGTATTTACCATAAGCCATCTCATCAGGTACGAATATAGTCAAAACATGAAATGCCTTGGGAATGATTTCCGTGGTAAATTTCGGTCTATTTGGCTCAAGCCAATCTATTCACAACACCTCCATGTAGAGCAATTGTCTGAAACCAGATATTCAGCCAATCATTGCTCTAACATTTTATAACTAGTCCTCTCCATAATCACAGCTAACTATCAGCATGTCAAACACACACAGATCTTTGTTTTCATTCGCAAAACTCATGATATGCATATTTTTCCACTTTTCTTTGGTGTTCTATGAGCTATAGCTTCAAATGAAACTTCATAGAAAAGCCTGATAGAATGCAGAGTAAAGGGAAAACGCATTGTCTGGATATGGGAGGTATCCTGAGCCTGCAATGATCCTCAATGCTTCCTGAAATACAGAAACCACCAACATGCTTGCAGTAATGGTAGAAAAGGGGGAAGAATATGATAATACTGACACTGGACTGTTGAATAACAATGTACTTTCCTGTCTGTCCCTCTAGAGTCTCATATTAAGTTGATAAGATAGATAATAAGGAAGCCATCCCAGAGAGCTAAACTTTTGTTATTCCTTTCTCTCTCTCTATCTCTGTCTCTTTCTCTGTATCTCTGTGTGTCTCTGTCTCTGTCTCTGTCTCTCTCTCTCTCTCTCTCCCTCTCACCTCCCCCTCTTTCTCTCCTCATTGGTGGTGCTGGGGTTTAAACCCATGCCCTTATGTATGGTAGGCACACACTCCCTACTTGAGCCATGCCCTTAACTCAGAGAGTTCTATTTCAAACTTATGTTAGAACTGTAGTTAGACATGTACATCTCACCTTCCTGAGGCCACACTGTGTCTTTACCTGGAAAACGAGGAAGCTGATTTAGAACAAATTGTTTTGTCCAAAGTATTTTAACCTTAGAACACTTCCTTCATACAAACTCTCATACAGAAGCAAAAACATAATGAAACTAGTCAATATGAAGAAGAGTTGTGCTATTGGGGTGAGGATAATCACTCACGTCCTTACCTACCCATTCTTCCTTCTCTTTCCTCATATCATGGCCCCTGGTTGGATTGGGGTACCAGGTTATCTGAGGGGGTCATAGCTCTGACCACCTGTGAGCCTGAAAAACCCATTTGACCAGTTATAGAGCACTGAGTACATTCAAGGCATTTTAAGCCAAATTCTATTGGTGTAAAGAGTATGGCCAGTCTCTGTCCTTTTTTCTGGGAAGGAAGGAGAGGGACACACAAAATTACTGTAATTACCATGATGATTTGGTACATGTCACTGAGCCCGGCCCATTCTACATGTTTGGCATCTTATTCCTCCATCTGATCAACCATATATGACTTCCCATTACCATGTCATTTACTGTTTCTAAATTACTACATTATTGAACATGTGCTATTGCTGTCTCCCCATCTAGAATGTAAGTTCAACAAGGGAAAGAGATGTCTTGATTGTTTAGTTCACATATCCTATGGCTGGTGAAGAGTAGGCATCAATAACCTTTCTTTTTTGGATGGATGGATGGATGAATGGATGGATAGATGGACATGTGGCTAACAAAAGTCTAAGGAGCATAATAAGGGCTCAAAAGAACCTAAGCGACTAGAGGTTTTGTCAAATGGTTTACATTTGAATTTATTTTGAAGAATGGGGACAGATATTAAGGTATTCCAGAAAGAGCTAAGAGCCTGAGAAAGAAGCAAGGATGAGCTTGGCATGTTCATGATTCAGGGAGGTCCTCACTGTACTGCTGAGAACCAACTGATAAGCATGTTACACACTGAAGCAAAAAGATCAGATATGGCCAGACACCAGTGGCTCAGGCCACTGGTCTGGCTACTCAGGAGGCTGAGATCTAAAGACCACAGTTCAGAGCCAGCCCAGGCAGGTAAGTTTGTGAAAATTATCTCCAATTAACCTCGAGGAAGCTGGAAGTAGAGCTGTGGCTCAAAGTGATAGGATGTTAGCCTTGAACAAAAGAGCTCAGGGATACTTCAAGCCCCACAATCAACTGGAAAAAAAAAAAGATCAGCATATGCCCATAACTTTAGCTGTTTGGAGGATGAGATCAGGAAGGTCACAGTTGTAGGCTATCTAGGCAAAAATTCTGACATGTCACATTTCAACAGAAGCAGCTAGATGTGACGGCATACACCTGTCATAACCAGCTGTAGCAAGAAGTACAGACAGCAGACAGAAAGCTCATAGGGCAGGCCCACTTTGGGAAAAGGCAAGTCCTATTCTCAAAAACAGCCAGAGCAAGGCAGATGCCAATGGCTCACGCTTATAATCCTAGCTATTCAAGAGGCTGGTATCTGAAGATCAAGGTTTGACGCCAACTTCAGGCAGGAAAGTTCATGAGACAATTAACAAACAAAAGAACAAGAGTAGAGCTATGGCTTCAGTGGTAAAGTGCTAGCCTTGCGTATAAAAGATCAGGGGCAGTGCCCATGCCCCTCAATTCAAGCCCCAGCACCAGACACACACACACACACACACACACACACACACAGCTAGAGCATAAAGGGCTAGAATCATGGCTCAAGTGGGGTAGATTATCTGCCTTGTAAGTATGAACCTCTAAGTTCAAACCCCAGTGCCACAAAAAGAATGACAGCAACCAAAAATAAATAAATAAAAGACCAGATGGTCCTTGTGGGAGTTCAAAATATATGCAGTCAACTTGACATTTTTCAGGCCAAATTTAGAATGATGAGGAAGAAAAGGGATCCCCAAGTAGCCAGATGGGACAAATCAACCTCTAGTAAGCAGTGTCCTGAAAGCCAATGAGCCAAAACAGCAGAAGCCTCAGAGAAACACTGGTCCCTTGTGGCTTCTTCGTTAAGGAACATAGGAGTCTGGGCCTAATAAGGCCTTTCTTTGATAGCTCCCTTGTGTTTTAAATCTGGGTTATCACAGCTACCTCTAGAATTAGGGGTAGAATAGGGAAAGATGATCACATCAGTCTCCTATAATTGATTATTTAAAAAATTATTTAAAAATACAGGTTGGAAGCACACTTCACAAAGAACACTTATACTAGATTAATAGTTAGCTAAATTTTGTAAAGTTCCCATCTAGAACATCAGCTCTGCAGTTAGTCACTTTTCTAAATAAAATTCACTAACCTGAGTCATGGCCACATTATTAGTGAAGCAAAGGAGTGAAGCATAAGTTTCACCCAGGAAATACACCCAAAAAGAACCTGGAACCTTTATTGTGTAAAAAAAAAAAACCTAAAACTAAAAACAACACAACAATACAATGCCCCAAATCAAATGTTCTGGGTAAATTCCTGTTAGAAAAGGAAAAGCAAAAGAGAAAATGTTCTCCACAGAGAGCTCCGCATAGATGTATCTTTAATGGCTCTTTACCAAAGTGGATCAGTCCTCAATTTAAATTATTACATTATTTAAATAGACCCCATAAAGAGATGAGCAATTTGCCTTGCTACCTCCTGGGGAGTCCTACTCTGCCTTTTATAAAACTAATCCATCAGCAATGTGACTTTGGGGTACCAAATGCACATGCCAATATAAGAACAGTTCATGTGGTAGTGCAAATGTCAGTGCTGCCTAATGGAAATCATGAGGTTTAGAAAGTCTGGCATGGGCACACCTGCCATGACGGAGGATGGAAACGCCTTGAAAAGGCTTCCCAGACAGAAGCAAAGCCTTCAGAGCAAGCCCTTTACTGCCTTGAAGGATTGGGTTAAAAATGATAAGCAAGATCAGCTTCATGCAGGCGCCTACACCACCCTCATTCCAGCACACATTATTTCTGGATGCCACCCGGTGAAAAGGGAACAGACACTCACACAATAAGCATTTCAGTTAATGAAACGCAACCATTGTGCCTTTCCTACTGTACTCAACTGGTGAACACAGGCCTGGCACCACCAGCAAAAACCATTGTGAGATACGCTGATGAGTCAGCTAAACGTGGGGGATGGAGAAACAAAGGCAGGGAACATGGGACGCTTTGGAGAAACAGCTTGATTTGGAGAAACCTGCAAACCTAAAAAGAAACATTGCTCATGATCACTGAGGGTTTTTTTATTTGTTTCTTTGGTTTTTGCATGTTTGATTTCAATTCTTTTTACTGCAGTGATGGGCCTGCTACTTGAACCTTAAGGTTCATGTAAGTCTAAACACTACAAGGTCACAAGACAAGTAATGCCCTTAACCACCTCTTGGATGAACACTGCCTGGTATTTCCCTGAAGCTTCAAGAGATCTGTAAGGGTATGCAATGTGGAAGCCTGAGCTCAGCAGTGAACTAAGGAAAGAGGCAAGACACTATTTCTCACCTCACATTACTGAGAATGATGACCTGGATAATGATAAGAAATTTCATTTTGGCTGCTGATGTTAACAAATGACTCATGGCATGCATGCATCATTTCTATAGCTGCGGGAAAAGACAGCCTTGCTCTGACCATCCAAGGCCATGAATTCCTGGACTCAATATGAAGCAGGAGCTAAAGATATATAGCTCAGTCTTCAGAAATGAGTTGCACAATACTCCAGTTTTCAGTACTAACCAACGCAAGTCTGCAGACCCCAATAAAAGCTTGAGATTTGGGACCTCCACTGCAATGCTCCATCTTGAGCCTGCCCACTATCCCATCTGGAGGGCATTCTTTTGCCTTGCTTTTGTTTTGCTTTGCTTTGCATTACTAAACCTGATCTTTCTTAAGTATCCTCCTGTGTCCACCCTTGAACTCTCTGGCCACCAGAACTGGTGGCCCCACATGCATAGCCTCTACCATACAATTTTCCTAACTGTGATGCTTCTCCTAAGTATTTTCACTAATAATGGAAAGAAAAAACAACCAAAAAGTCTGCCCCAGCTGGGTGCTGGTGGCTTATGCCTATAATCCTAGCTATTCAAGAGGCTTAGGACTGAGGAT